TCACAGCAGCGACGATGGAGGCGCGACTCGAGACCCGCGACATGTCTGCGCGCTCCCCTTCCACGCGTTTATTTCTACGTTTCGCCCCTCTTATATTATTACTCCCTGTCTGTCCCTTGTTCTAGTCGCGGAAAGAAGTGCGTTCTTTTCTTCCTTTTTTTTTCTTTTTTCTTTTTCTTGGAAAAGGGAGGAAGACAGAAGAGGAGAGACAGATCCCGGCCACCCGATCGCAAGCCACCCGAGCCGAGCGGTCAGTCGATCATTTTCGTGGCTCTTCGACGAGGAGAGAGGAGGATTATCGCGCAGGCACCATTCAGGTGATTCGCCACTCCTGAACAACCCCTCGAGCGCCCATAGAGGATCCTCTCGACGGATCTCGACGACCTCTCCTCCCCCCGCTCTTTTCTCTCCTCCTCCTCCTCCAAGCGGATGGATCCTGTTTCTTCCTCTCTCTCTCTTTCTCTCTCTCTCTCTCTCTCTCTCTTCCCTCTCTCGCCCTTCGAGAAACGAGCCGGCTAAATCCAACCGGGATCCAACCGCGGTACGCCCATTAAGAAGCGAGACGATCCCCGATTCGACGTGCACCGCGTCCTATCCACCACGGTGTCGTTACCTTTCCTCGGTTGGGAACGATTCTCCCTCGCGCGAGCCACGATTACGATGTGTTGCGGTGGTTGCGGGGCCAAGTCGATTTTCACGCGGTTAAGAAATTAAGGGCGTTGCAATGGTAAGAGAGTTGGAGGGATTCTTTTCTTTTCTTTTTTTTTTTTTAGTGAAGTTTCGTGGATTTGTCGGTTGATTGGACGATAAGGGTAGATTTTTGGTCGTCGAGGTCACCTCGTCGCTCGTTCTTCTGCTCTCATCCCGGCCTGAAAATAAAGAAGAAACGGATTTGTAATGAGAATGTAGAATTGTTGAGTGGATATTTTCTGACAAATAATTTTTTTTTTTTTTTTTAGTTAATTGGAATTACGATTAAATCGTAATATTGGTTGGTTTTCCTCCGATTGGAAAAATATTTATCGTTGAAACGAAACGACGAATAGAAGTTTTAGAATTTCTTTTATGGAAGAGGTTAAAGAAAGGCGAACTCTTGAGAAGCTCTGTGCTACCGTTTGATAAATAGGCAAAGAAAAGTGAAAGTCAGACACCGTTAATGTCGGCCAAGATAACCGCGCGCAGATAATTGAATATCGCTACCTTAATTATAAAACCTGTTAACTCATCAAAATTTCAAATTTTAAAATGTTATAATTTTCCCCCCTTTGGATAAGATTTTCTTTTTTTCTTTCTAATTTACGTAACGAAAATCAAATTCTTCTTTCATACTTTTTTAAAACTTTTTAACGTTTCGATAAATTATGTAATAATATGATAATATATAATATAATAAGATGTATTCACATAATCCTGCAGATTGAAATGAAAATTTACTCTATGAATTTTAATTTTAGTTCATCAATCTTAAAAATCTTCATTGATCGATTGAAAAGATCTCTTATACACTTACAAATCCATCCAATTAGAGACGCATTCTACAGAATCATCCCTCCACTCAGACTCATCCAACGGCAGAAAAGTAACAACAACGACAACAACAACAACAACAACAACAACAATAACAAAAGAAAAAAGTAAAGAAAATTATAACTTAAATTGGTCGTTAAAAACGACCATTAATCAATTAAAAACTCCACACATAACTCACCAAGCAATATTCATCCAACGACAGATATTCCGCACACAATTCACAAGCTCGCGCAAATAATAATAACCATGCACAAGTCGGATCCATCCAACCGTGGCGGGAA